TCGAAAGCACAACATAAGTTTTCCAAAACTTAATCCGCGCTGCGATTTTAAAACAACTATAACTTGCAGCACATAAGTCACATAAACGTGATTCCAGTTGCACTACAACTCTTATGAAGACATCGATAACAGATAGGGTCATTTAGCAGGAGATAATTCAACAAACAGTCATAACAGTGTTGCAGTGAGAAAACTGAAATCTTATATATACGGATCTTCAGTAATTATCACATAACTCATGCTACAGACCTCGAAATGACATGATTCAAAAACCAACACCAACTAAGAAGTAAGGCTACAACTTTCATGAAGACCACTTTTCAGTTTGAGCACATACTTACATCGATTTCATGGCAAACATTTAATATAAACATGCTGCCGGGTTTACATAAAATTGCTTGTACAATCATTTTGTAAAAATCATATCTCACTCAATTTAAATCGAATTTTTAAAGATTTCAAAACTCACTGAAAGCTAACCGAATAAACAACAACTCATATGAAGAACATATCTTCAAATAACGAGTTCTTGGCCATAAGCGGGGCGCAACAGAGACAGTAAAATCATGCAAACAAAATGAAATCTTGTCAATGAATTTCAATGTTTATAAATTAATCCATTATATCAAATGAACCCATATATCTCATATAACACATATAAACAAGGAAAAATCACATTGAGCATGCTCGATCAAGACTTCAACATTAATCCACCTAAAACTCCATATAACACCATCATAAACATCTCAACATGTCATTTCTTTTCAAACAATAGATTTTATAGAACGCAACACACCAATATAAACTAGAAACCAGAAAACCCACTGAAGAACCAGCCAATCAGCTGAATTTAGGTGGGAGAGCTACACAAAGTGTAGTCTATAGCCGACCAACCAACAACAAAACACAAAAACAACCTACAAAAATCCTAATAGAGGAGAAAGAATCCCTCAATAGAGGAGAAGAAAACTCTCACAAGGAGAGAAGCTCCCAATCGGGAGAACCAAAAACACTAACCTACAATAAAAACAACACAAACAAAAAACGCAAAAACAAAACAAAGATAACAACACCCTCCCTACCGGACATCAACCCCACATTCCGCACGACCAAGCAAACCTCCAAGCGCGACCCACCAGAAAAAAGGCCCCAGAAACTACAGTCAAAGACGAGCCCTAGATCTGAAAAGCACCATTGGGACTCGCAAGCCCGCCTAGGCCAGACCACCGCCACAGCTCTCCCCACGCAAACTCCTGGTCCGGCAGTCGAAACGCCACCACCGTCGGAGGTCCCTACCACCCGAACACCAGGGGAGGCCAAAAAAGGAAGGACCAAGACCGGTCTGCCGCCACCAACATCCTCAGAAGTCCGCAGCGACCGCTGGATGCCAAGCCTGCAGCCCCCACCTTCGGCTCCATCCGCCATGATGCTCAGTGACAAGAGCGGGACCACGTATGGGGAGGCAGAGACGAAAAGGCCACCATGCCAGTACTGGCGAACCTAGGGTAAGCCGGATGCTTGCCGGAATCGTAAGGAAATGACGCTGCCGTAGAGGAGGCACCGCGGTAGAAGGCCGAGCGAGGTTTTTTATCTCCGATTTGGGGAAAATATCGAAGAGGGCGAGTTACCCTCTTCCTATCTCAACATGCCATTTAAAATTCAAGAAATTTACATAACTCAAGCAAACACAATATAACAAATAGGGTTTCGAGCCTCGGTGTACCGTTCTCACGAAATGATCACGAGACGGTCGAGAAGTGGCCGGGACGGGGCTTTCGGGAGGTGATGCACAGCAACACACGGTTACTTGCTGGGCGCATTTAGTCGAGGTTATTGAGGCGTGGCTGTCTCCGATAGGTCTCGGTAGAATACCTTTCATGGTTTGAGGCAGCTAAACGAGCACGAACAGGGGCTCGTCTCTACCCGCAGCCACTGCTCAAGGGTCTGCTACCCGATGTCATGCGGCTGAAGCTCCTCGACAGGGTGCTACTGCGAACGACGAATGGTCACGACCCATTGCTGGTCTAGGGTCGCAGACAATGGCGGCCATTGGGTCGAGGTCACTGTCGAGCATTGAAAGTGAACAGTGTAGAAACGAGTCGCCGGACAGGGAGGAGCACGGAACTCGTTCTGCTGGAAAAACGCTATTTTGACGTCATTAGCACAGTCGCAGCTCCTTGGTCGCCGGAGGTTGGGTTGCGTCTCAATGGTGGCTCAGATTGGCGGCGGGGAGGGCTCGCATACGTGGAAACCGACGATGAGGGGCTGCTCGATGGCCTTCACGTGTGATGCTGCTCGCGGTCGACGGGAGAGAGCGATATTTCTTCTCTTTTTTTTCTTCTTTAGCGAGCGAGAGAGGGATGAGAGACAATCGATTCATTCCTCTCTTCTGATTACTGAACGCGACAAGAGAGAGATGGTGAGCTGTGGGTTTTCGTGAGAGAGAAGAGAGAGTTGGGTTTGCGGCGTTTTACATGAGGAGATATGGTTTGCACTTATATATAAACCTAGGTTTAACAACTTGCCATCCAAGAAAGAAAAAGAGAGAGAGCCGGGCGGCTCGAACGCGGGTTCGGCCGCGGTTTCGGGCTTGGCGCTCGGGCCGGTTCTTCAGGGTTCAACAATTAAAATGATGCTTGGCTTGACTATTAATTTAACGAAGCTCGGATCGATCGCGACGATAAAATAAATTAGACCAGAATATATATATATATATATATATATATATATATAACATAAGTTTCATTTATTAATAATAGGCAATTAATAGGAATAATAATAATAATAATAATAATAATAATAATAATAATAACAATGTATTATTAAAATAATATCTGAAAAATCGATAAAATCCAATAAATGAATGGGGCGCTACACTTGTATTCTTCATATTTGCCTATTATTCATGATGTGTGTATGTGAGTGGATTATTGGTCTATGGAGAGCGTATCTCCTGTCGGTGGAGTACATCGACGTTTCTCTGACGTTGCCTTGAGAGCGTATCTCCTGACAATGGCATACATCGTTTGACTGTCTCTTGCTGGCGAGTAGTCAGTGGAAATGTGTGCACACCGAGAGTAGGAGAACTAAGAGATGGTTGTGGTGATTTTGGTGATGTGATTACGTACTGAGTTGTGGTAACTGTTTTTATACAGAATATTTTGCGTAACATTGTTTCCCTATGGTGAGTTGTTGTTTGCTCACCCCCATAATCCCTCTTTCAGCTTGAAGTTGGCAGTCGTGGTGATGACGAGACGAGAATGGTCTAATCTTTCTAAAATTATTTATTTTATAAAATATTTCTTTTTGCTTCCGCTTAATTTTTTGAAACTGGTAAAATGTTTGTTTTGAGGAATATGATGAATGACATTGAGCTGATTTTAGCTCATGCTTTGGTATGATGGTGTGTTGGGACAGTGAAGTCCCGTTGAATTGAATGGTGTTTAATTAAAATAATTTTGAATGCCCAATAAATGACGCTTAAACATGTCTTTGAAATTCATAAAAAATTATATATCTATTTTAAAAATTAAATTTTCTCTCTTTTTAAAACTTGGAAAATTCCTTTTAAAATAACAGGGTGTTACACCAGTTTTCAAGATGACCTCAATTCGAGTCATACTTAGCTTTGTAGTGAATATGAATTTAGAGCTTCAACATATGGATGTGAAGACAGTTTTCCTTCAAGGAGATTTGGAAGAAGAAATATATATGCAACAACTAGAAGGTTTTGAGGTTCACGTGAGAACTTCGTGTGCAATCTATCGAAAAGCTTGTATGGTCTAAAGCTAGCACCAAGGCATAGAGTAAGAAGTTTGACTCATGCATGCAGAGTCAAGGCTACAAGAAGACTACTGCAGATGAGTGTGTTTATATCAAGAGATACCCAGAAGGAGCTTTCATAGTTCTTCTACTGTAGGTAGACAACATATTGATCGCTAGTTATGGTGTAGAGAAGATAAGCCAGCTGCAAAAAGAACTCTCTAAGTCATTTGATATGAAAGTCTTCGGAAAGGCTCAACAAGTTCTTGGAATGTAGATTACTCAAGACGGGAAGAACGAAAAGTTATGGCTAGGGCTGCTCACTCGGTCGAAATCGAACGGAATAGACCGAATTTTCGGTTAACCGAAAATTCAGTTTGTCCACTATCATAACCGATAACCGAACCAAAATTTACGGTTCGGTTCGGTTTTTAACCAAAATTCCAAGGGTCGGTTTGGTTCAGTTCGATTTTCGGTTAATCCCAATAAATAATTAATCTTCTCAATAAATTCTGAATTTTTAACCAAGCAAAAATTTGATATTTTATTCGAACAAAAAATTTGATTGTTTATCACCTTGTTTAATCTTCTCAATAAATCCTAAATTCTCCTCAAAGGAAAATCTCATACCCGAATCGTGATTTGGACTATGACGAAGTCAATCTTGAGTGCAAGCTAATGCTTGAAATATTTTAGGGGTAAATGAAGCTTGAAAATCATCCAACATTGAAGCAAATTAATGCTTTTATAACTTATATGTATAAATAAATAATATGTATATATATTTGCATAAATTAGTTTTTGGTTCAATTTGGTTAACCGATCACAATTATCCAAACCAACAAAAATCGAAATTTAATTAAGAAAATGTAAACCGAAAACCAAACCAAATACCAAATTTTCGGTTTCGGTCGGTTCAGTTCGGTTAACTGAACTTTATGCACCCCTAGTTATGGCTATCTCAAGAGAAGTACACTGAACAAGTACTTGAAAGATTCAATATGTATGATGTCAAACCAATTGGTATTCCACTTACGAATCATTTCAAGTTCAAGTTGACCATAAGATCATGTCCCACCTCCAAGAAAGACCATAAGATCATGTCCCACCTCCAAGAAAGAGATGAAGGAGATGTCAGCTTACCCTTCAACAGTTTAAAGTCTAGTATGATCAACACATTTACATCCCCAAAAACAAACATATCAACAAAAAAAAGAGGAAAAAAAAATATAAAGTCTCTAATATCGGCTAATCAAGACAAAATCATCGTCGTCGAGAACCTGAACCTCCTTGTCCCCGATGAAATTCTCCCTCCCCAACTCCTGGACAATCTTCACAAACTCCACCCTCTTCTCCAGTGAATGCGGCACATATGGTTGTCGAAAGACGGGCCTCACGACCCCAAGCTGGGCCAGGGCCGTGTTCAGCCCTATTGGGTTCGGCTCCTCAAACAACCACTTCACCAGAGGCAAAACCCTCGCGTTCAACTCCGGATTCCTCTTCCTAAACATCAGCTCCCTCATCAACCCCGGAATCAAATTGCTCACGACCGAGATTACACCTCTGCCCCCGTGATCCCACCTCGAGTCGTGGCACTCGTCATCTTTCCCACTCCACACGACGAGCCCGCTACCCACGTGCTCCACGACACGGGCATGTCCGAAACACTCCATCACACCTGCAAGGTTCGGGCTCTGGGCCAAGGCTCGAACGACACTTGAGGGAATATCCTGGCCCATGCGGGAGGGCACATTGTGTATAATGGTGGGGCCCATTTGGAGGACATTCTCGAAATGGAGGGTGAAGTCGTCGAGGGAGGCTTTGCCGTAGTAGGGGTTGATGTGAAGGGTGGCATGCATGCCGACGGCGAAGCCTTGTTCGGTGGCGTAGATGGTGTGGATGGCTTCACCAGTGTTGCCGACGACCTTGATCGAGCTACCAAAGCAGTTGACCGTGTGGGCGATGAGCACGATGTGCTGGTCCCATGACATGATATGCCCCTCACCTGCGGTCCCGCCCACAATCACCCCTTCGGCCCCACCCTCGATCTGCATGTTTACGAGCGCGTCGTATGCCTCCAAGTCCAAGCGGCCATTAGGAAGGTATGGCGTTTTGATGGCCGTAATCAGCCGCAGAGCCTTTATCTTATCAATGTCCGTCCTGCCATGAAAATATGTAAATTAGTTTTATCACCTCACGTTTTACACATATCAAGACATCTGCTAAATTGTTTTATCGAATTTCTCCATAATGCCAATCACCAGGAATATTCTGTCGTTTAGAGTTAACTTAATAACATAACCCATGTCATTATTATTAACTTAATTACATAACCCATGTCAGCGTCACGCATAACGTCGAAAAAATAAATAATAAAAAAAAAACATAACCCATGTCAAGTAACCAGCATCGAATATATGGGGTAATAATTTTTTCATGTCGGCATTCCTGAGCCACCTTCTGAAGGAGCAAATCAAATGCACATGAGAAAGGATCGGGAGCATGTCTAAATATGTTTACGTATGTCTTACTAACATTAAAACAAAGTGGAGGGAAGTAAAAAACCAACTCTTGTTGAAGAGTTACGTAGAAGTGATCATACATCAAACAATGAACCTTTATTACACTGTACACTACATCTATCATGCCACAATTATTTCCTTCACTAACTTGAGATTCGTAGAAATCTATAAAATTGAAAGGCAAACTTGCGAGGATCCCGTCAAATCAGCTAGTATTAGAATTAAGAGTCACAGGAACTCATTGAAGAAAATTAGCTCCGCTGAAGAAAGAATTGGTTAACCATTTACCGATTTTTAACTTCATAACTACGCATTGGGAGATGGAAATTGGAACCCACAGCTGCTCTGGGTGGCCTCCATTTTTGCACCCCAACTGTATCATCATCACAGTAACATGAAAAAAGACATCAACACATTGCGTAAAAATGTTCATTAGTAAAATAATAAGAAAAGAACATTCTTTTGAATTGAGGCAGCCATATTGCCAAATATCTAACAGCCACCATTCAAGATCCATACAGATACTATGCATCAAAGCCAACAATGCACTCAACAGCTGGGCATACAAATTTCTACGAGGGAAAAAACTCACTCAGATGAAAAAAAGGGAAAAACATACAAGATCAATAACATTCATTTTCTTCATTCTTTTCTGTAACATTATTTCTTAACTCTGCTCACAGACCTGTTCCAAAACTAGTATGTCAACTTTTTGAACTGCAGTGCACCAAAATGAACAAACATGAAGCTCATACAAGACTGTATCTATAATTCTATATATCTCAAGAGTACAGAAAAATAGCTCGAACCAGTAAACGTATGAACAAAAAATCAACCAGAGGATCAATTTAAAATCAGCTCAATAAATCTCAGTGTAGCAGAACATTTAAATGAATTCAAAGACAAACATTTTTCACTAAAGAAAACGATCTTGAGAGTTAAAACCGATCATGAGGCAACCAAATACGACCCTTTCTTTTTGTAAGAGCAAAAAAATCGCCAATTTTGGAAATCAGTTGGCAAAAATAAAACAATCTAATGAAATACCTTGATGAGTAGTTTTGAGAGAAGAACATCCAATCGCCAACGACATCACAGCTGGCTCGAAAATACAGCACACAGATAAAAGTGAGAAGAATGAAAAGTGCGTGAAAGCTGAGCTAAATCTCGTGAATCCTCCGGCGGCAAAAGGCGCTACAAAACCCGCGTGGGTGAAAAGCTTCTTTGAATCGGCGGCGCAGCCGCATTACCCTTTTCTTCGACTAGTGAAGGTGGTGGTTTGGCCGGCGGCGCGGTGGGCGAAAGATCAAAGAGAGATGCGAAGGCGAAAATGGGAAAAATTGGAAAGAAAATTGGGTTAAAACATATGGGGACGTGGTTCGGTGGAAATTCCTCCAAATGACCATGTGAAGAACAGAATTTGTTTAAGTGACCCTTGACCAAAATGCTACAATTAAAATAAATAACTAATTATATTAAATAAACATTTACTAATATACCCTTAACACAATAAAAGGGTATTTCCTTCTTCCTTCTTCATTTTTCCTTCTTCATTCTTCTCCGACAATTTCCCGCGCCCAACAACTGTCGACCTCCTCTCTGGTGTCTCTCGTTCGTCCTCCTCTCTCTCGTCCGACCTCCTTCTCTCCGTCGACCTCCTCTCTTGTCCTCTCTCGCGCCCAATCTCTATGGAGCTCGCTCTTCCCGTCAATATCGGTACATGTTTGGTTTTTTTTAGTTTTTGCCAGTTTCTTCTTTTACTTAATTTCCTTGTGTTTGGGCCTTTGATATTCGTGGAGCAAAGTTTTGATTGTGTTATGTGAATTCATCTTATTTTGATAGTTTTGATGAAAGTGAAAATGGTAATAGGTGCACACTATGTGTTTGATGAAATGCTTGTATTATGGAGTTGATAGTAATTGGGTATGCTAATTGTTGTATACTTTGAAGCAATCAATATATTTAGTTTGAATGTTTGTAATATTTGTACCTTCGTTATACAATAGATTATAACAAATGTACTCTCGATATTATTTTATTTTCATCCCCGGTCGATGGAATACTTTATTAATGATTATACCTTAGTTATATAATACAATATAATGAAAGCACTCTCGTTGCAGTGTCGCAATACATATAACAACCTTATTTTATAAAATAAGGATACTTGTTTTTCTTTAGAAATAGATAGAATGAAGATAACATTTCATATGGAACTCTTTACTGCCCGACCTGCTTGGTTTGATAAATGATGTTGACCATGTTATGTATTTTCTTGCCTTCAAAATGATATGAGTTGTTGTTGAGGTTTGGGGTGTAAAGAGGGGATTGTGGGGAGTCTCTGTGGGTGAGGGTTAAGGTGAAGCCATTTGTGATTTGGAGAGTGTATGGAAGGATAAAGAGAAAGAGTGATAGGAGATTAAGATACATGGTTAAATTTGGAGCTATTTTTTGAAGGCTTAGAGTGCAACCAAAGAATTCAAACAAGTATTGACCAGTTATATACTAAGATTTGATTGTTTGCTGTATGTGAGAGGATAATATGTTTAGTTATTAAAATATGCCTCTAATGTTTTTGGTTCTTTTTCTTTTTGGTGTATTTAATTATGTGATGTGTACTCTGTCTTAATCTCTTTCTAGTTTTCAACCAAATCAATTTTTGTTTTCTTTTTTTTTTTGGTGAAAATTAATGGAAAATGCCTTTTGCAAAATGATAAAATTGAAAGAAATGTTTGGTAAATGCAACAGGTGGTGGTGATAGTTTTCATTCAACAGATTATTGTATAGTAAATTCAAAGTCAGAATTAGGGGTGTAATCGAGTCGAACAGATCTAAGCTTGGCTTTATCTGTAGAAAAGTTGATGTTTTTGTTTCGTTCGAACTCAATGTACATATTCATCCAAGTTTTCTAAATCCGTATTTTCGAGTTTCGACCCTTTACCAGCTCGGCTCGACAAAAGTTTTAAGTCAGCTTGTCAAAAAGATAATTACAAATTGAATTTGTAGAACCTAATGTTGAATACATTTTTAGGCTAAGTTTTAGTTTGGTGGTCTTAACCTAGTGTATAAAGTTTGAAAAATATTGGCCTAAGATAAGAAAAGAAAATGAATGGGTTTTTGTCTTGACTCTACATTGTGTACTTTACAATAATTGTTATAGTAATTTTGGAAACGACATTATATACCTAATTTAAGCTCCTTGTTTGGTCTATTTAAGTTCAGTGTTAGTACTTATTGCTTGTTTGATCTATTATGACTTATTTTTGTCTTTCTTTTCTGTTTTTAGGAACCAAAAAGGAATATGCCTTTGATATATCTTTCAAATGCAAAGCAGTGGTGACTATGTTGGGTTCTATTAGGAACGTCGACAATGTGCACATTCAAATCTATTGAATAATAAATCCTCACGCAGCGGAATCTATAGTTAGGATTAGGACTTACGGTTTAAAATTTTTGCCGACTCTGAGACGTTTCTGATTTCCGTTGATGGAGATCGTCTGAACACCAAAGTCTAATGGGCGGCTAGACTTGGCCTTTCTCGATTCTAATCGAGTCACCATGGTGCTTCAATCGCTCATCAAGCTCATTGGATCGTCTCGGACCTTCGGTGAGTGAGTCGGACTGCTCGACAACCATCTTGGACTCGAACCGGGGCTTCTGGACCTGCTGGAACGGGTTGAACCTTGCTGACCGCGTCTGGACCGGTCTGGTAATGTTCTGGACCGCTTTCCATGCCTCTGGGCCGATTTGGGCTGCTAGTCCGCGCGCTGGGCCGCTTGGACTGCATCTGGGCCGCGCACAACGACGCTGGGCCGCGCTAGAG